AGAAGAAGAAGAAGAAGAAGAAGAAGAAGAAGAAGAAGAAGAAGAAGAAGAAGAAGAAGAAGAAGAGAACTAGCCTCAGTTGAAGACACTTCTGGAAAAGTACTTTAACATGAGTCAATACCAATTATTGCAGTCCTTCAAAACTACACACTTGAATAGTAACTTCACACTACCTTCACTGTCTTGACATGCTGCTTACGATTCTTTCTAGATAATAGAAACTCATATTAATTCAAAAGAAAACAACTACTATTAATTGGACAGTTAGTATAAAACATTACATTATTTTGAGCATATGTTATTTAATCTTCATAATATGATATTTTGTAGGATTTGGGATACAAGTTCTATTTACAAAGAAATAAACTGATGTTGAGTGAGTTCAAAGGACTTGTACAATGTTCTAAAGCTATTGACAGGCAATAAATATGAGCATCAAATGTCATAACAACACTAATTATGAAATATACTTTATAAAAATTTTATTTTAAAACTATTATTTTGAGGAAGAGAGAAAACTTATTCCTTCAGAGGTATCAAAATTTTGAGAAAAACCTCCTTGCACTAAACAGTGAATGCACATTTGAAAATAGGTCAGGGAAATTTCTCAATAAAGAAGGTTTTCAACCTCATACTTTCAAGACTGTGTTTCATGTTCATTCCTAAATTAGCTAACTAGCAACCCTCTGATGATATTTGACAGACATAGTCCTAGGTGCTTGGAATGTCAGGATGAGTAAGATGTAGTTCCTTCCTTCAAGTCTTTTACACCACTGGAGACCTACCTTTAAGGTGGCCTGCAAACCTTATATATTTAAGAGCTGTGTCTCTTAAGATAACATGCATTTATACCACCAGCCCCCAGAATATATATGAAAGTGAAACTCATGGAACTAAGAGGTGGGAATCATCAGATGTTTAAAACCATGAGCCAGGATAAGACCACTTATGAAAGAAAGAGATGGCTAAGAACTAAACACTAGATCACACCTTGCCAGAGAGAGAGAGAGAGAGAGAGAGAGAGAGAGAGAGAGAGAGAGAGAGAGAGACAGACAGATAGACAGACAGACAGACAGAGGCAGAGACACAGAGAGAGACAGAGACAGAGACACAGACAGACAGACAGACAGAGAGACAGACACAGAGAGAGAGAAGACAAGGGAGGCAAGGAGGGGAAAGAGCAGATAAAGAAAGGAAAGGAAAAAGTGTTTAGTGTAGTGCTTAAGGGCAAGGTCACTAAGGTGAGAGACACTAACAACTAAAGCGCATCTCAGCCAATTACCAGTTGCATACGTTTTGCCTGATGATATAAATTTCATAGACCTAGGTATTCTCATAAGAAAATTAGAAGTTAGATAACTTCCTGCTTTGCAGTTTGTAAGCAATAAGGGTGTTTATTATAAGGGCTGGCAAGATAGGTCAGTGGACTAAAGTGGCAGCACCACAAGCTGTGGCAGCCCTGCCCCCAGGGTGTCCAGGTGTGGTGGCGCTCGCTTGTGATCCCAGAGTTGGGGAGGCTGAAAACAGGAGCATCACTATGAATCTAAGCTGTACAGTGAGACCCTGTAACAACCAAAAACATTAATAATAATAATAATAATAATAATAATAATAATAATAATAATAGTCAGAACATATAGCTGTTAGACCTACAAACAACCGAGGTGACAAAAGAGCTCTGTCACATAGTGATTCTGAATTTTCTCTCTGTGCCTCCATTCCTTAATCTGAAAGAGGCATAATAATGTCAATGCTTCCTTTCTTAGGCTATACAAAGATGGTAGAGTTAATTCATGCAAAGCACTCAGAACATTAGGCAAAGAGGAAGAATTCTGTAAGGGTCTGCTAACGAGAGCTGTGCCTACAATCTGTTCCAGGGGCCACATCTCTATCAGCCAGGGCTACTGCAATAAGGAAACATATTGGGGAAAAATCCACAGGGGAAATCAGTCTGAGCTAACTAAGCTTTTCCCTTGAAGCAGAAACAAAGAGCATGGGAAAAAGCCTAGGAAACTTTAATCAGACTCAAAAGGAAGAGCAAATCAAGCAAAATTCAATAAAGCACTGGTTCTGCCAGAACAAGCTGAGTCTTGGACATAACACAGTTTAGAGAGCAGAGAACAATAGAAATTGAGTTTCAGGCATTGAGCCACAATTCAAGTGACTCAGCAGGCAAGCAGGCCCTGGTGTCAGAGGTTTGTATCACCAGGGCAAAAGGTTTTAATTTAAAAAGTCATCTCTATCCATTATCCATAGATTATAGTTCATTTTATTCTAAACTAATAAATGATGGACACTCAGTCCATACTTTCCCTCTAATTCTCATGTGTAATTACTCTAACCAAGCTTGCTTTTCTATAAATAGCATTTACAGAGTCTGCTGAGGCTGTTTTCTGTTTTGCTTACCAACCTTTGGAGAGGTCAGTGGGTCTACTGTCATCACTCAAACGGAAAATGTAAAAAACACCTGAAGATTAATGGGCTAGGAAATTTTGAGCACAAACTCCATTTGACACCGCACATACATCAACTTACAGAACAGCAGAAGAGAACGTAAAAACCGATAGAGGGCTCTTACATTTCAAGATCTAATAGAGCCAAGGACTAAGAAAGTGAAAAGATTGTTTTCTTTATTGTTGCTTGTTTTGATTTTGCTGTGTATGCGTGTGTGTGTGTGTGTGTGTGTGTGTGCGTGAGCGCACGTGCCTGTGTGTGTGTGTGTGTGTGTATTGTCTATTTTTCTCCTATGACATTATTTCAGCAAAACCCTATTCCCTTTCTGCTCCTTACTACCTGGGTAATATTGATGTGTTCCTCAGCACCTAAGTCAAACATCACCTACTAGACTCTGCTGTTTTCTTTACTACCCAAAGTAAAATTAGTCAGATCTTTTGCTAGGTTCCCTTTAGAATCTATATGTTCCCTGTAGCTACATGTAATGCTATGTTTGGACTGTTCACCTGGAAGTTCCTACTTCTAGACCAAAACAACAAGAGTGCTCTGTTTATCTCTGATGCCCGTCAGGATATTTGTGTGGAATCC